AAATTTCACTCCTCGGAACCCCAGATTTCCGCCGCGGCTAGTTCGTGATTTAAATAAAATTCCCATCCCTTAATGCGGAACATTCCCCCGGCTCAAGAGCTCATCCCTCCGGAAACTTTCGAGCTACTCTCTTGAAGTTTCACCGAAACTTTTCGGCGATCTCTCCTATTTTTCACCGTGATTTTACAGCAACAGATGTCGAATAATATCCTTTTGATTCCGCCACATCGCCGGTAGCCGGCGGCCTGGCGTGACCCCAACTGTGGCTTTAAATATGCATAAGATACCGAGCTTATAATCTTGAATTTTGAACAAGGAAATAATGCGCAAAATCGGATTCATCTCGGGCGTAGACATTCAACTCGGAGGAAAAAAAAAACTTCGGAATAATCGAGCACCAGTGTTGTAAGTCCAAGCTTCCAGTCGTAGGGACTAAAATTCTGTTGAGGGAATCAATGTTTTAGTTTTTGGAAAACTAAAGCTCGAAACTTTTACCCGGAGATTTTGAAACGACGAAACCATGAAACGCACTTTTCCAGTTTCAACGTCGATGTATGTTTGATACGTAAGCGATTGCATGGTAAGTGTTTGAAACACTGAAACTCTCTTAACATCGTAAGTTCTCGAGATTTCGTTTGCTTTGCATACATTTCGATGATGAAATTCGTAAAACAGATACATCAACCCCAATGATACAAAATCTCCGTCACGATTTTTTTAAGGCTATCCATGAATTTTGGTTTTCAAAATGTTCATAATATATTCTGCACGAAATGAAAAATAATCAATCAACATTCCAAGTATTATTGTTCGTCGTAATTAATTTGAAAAAATACAATTTAATAAAAAATCCGCACCGTCGCAATAAATCCAGTTTCTGTTTTGCAACTTTTACCATCAACTTTCCATAGGTGAGATAGCTTAGATATCGCTCTTAACCGGTGAGACGTTAATTGTTGCACTCTGGTACCAGGGCCCCGAGCGTATTCAACTTCAATCGTAGTTCACATAAAGAGGTTCAGCGTCAACAAGAAACTGTACTAATATTTTTATAGGATGATTTTGAATAAGAACTCAGAGTGAAGTGGAGTTTTTTTTTAAATAAAATCCCCGGGCTAGGTAGTCCCAACATTGTGAAATATTTTTCCGGCTACATTATGCACTTCTATGTATTCTCTCCGATGGGACTGTAGCTGCCAAGTTCGTTTTGGAACGTTAAATCTGCTCTTAAGGGAGCGAAACCGCTTTGTATGCGGAAAAAATAGCTTTTGCTTTTTTCCTCCCTCCTGTCTGTGCAGCGAACACAGTTAGAGTGAGGATCTTTAATTTTCCAGGAACCAATTTCAGCTGCCACTGCCCATACATCACGGAATTACTTTTGCCACTGAGGCTACCTATATTATTTGGACCGCATTAAGCAGAAATGAACCAAATCTCATCAGGCGTTGCCAAACTTCATCGAATAATTCATTTTCTTATAGGAGAACGATTGTACAGATTTTTTTATTATTTGAAGGAATTTGCTATTTGAAGCAGAGGTCTCCTGTTTTCAAAAAAATGTACACTTTCGTTCTCCTGTGAAAAGATTAATGGCCCGATGTAACTTGGCGATGCCTAATGGTTCTTTTTTTGGTTACTTTCTGTCAAATGCGGTCCACTAAATGTTCATTTTTTGCAGGCACATGGGCCTGTTTGCAAACTTTTGCTCGAGCAAGAATGAGAGTCGTTGCTCACAGAAAACGGCTCAAAAATCACGATGAGCACATTGGCAAAGTCTGAAATGCACTCCTAACTTCATAATCTGCTTAAGAAATTGCGTTATGATGAGCTTCCCGCTTCAAAAAACGATACTACAGTACAGGTGAACATATCGTTAGAGGAGTCTTTCCGCATTCAACCCTTGCGCACTAGACTGTTTTGCAATACTCAACAAAACCGACGCCATCAGGACGGATCTTCATCAACACGAGGAAAACGTGAATGTAAACAAACATGCCAGGTTGTTAACGAATGGTTAGAGTCTCATCCTTGCACATGCATTTTGGGGAATTGGCGTCGGCCATGATGAATATTGTGCAGTATCTTGTTTCACAGAGGTTGGAAGGAACAACTCCTCCAACGAAATGTTCACCTGTACTGCAGTATCGTTTTTGGAGCGGGAAGCTAAAAAAATCGCAAATTCCTTACGCAGATTGTGAAGCTAGGAGTGCATTTCAGACCATGCCGATGCGTTTAGTGTGATTTTTGAGCCATTTTCTACGAGAAAGGACTCAATGTATTTTTGCTCTGGCAAAAGTTTGCAACAGGCCCATTATAACTCATTTTGTGATTGTAATGTGTGTCAAAAGAGATTCCAACATAAAATAACTAAAAAGTGATGATTCAGTAAATAATCAGCTTTACAAGTACAGTAGAGTCTCGATTATCCGCGCCTCGGTTATCCGCGTTTCGGATTATCCGCGGTCCGTGGAGTGGACTATTTTTTTTTTACTTTTTCTATTTCTTTTGAAAGCGACTGGGACCGAACGGAGAAATTCGAGGGTTCAAGAAAAGGTTGAAATCCATGACTCAATCTTCCATCAAGAAATTCTTCAAGGAATAAAGTTAAATTTGTTTAACAGGTAACGTTTATTGACTCTTCTCTAATGCATGGCAAGTGTATTTACTGATTCCTTTAAAATACAGTCTTTGCGATGAATTTTTCCGGCCGTCTTGCGTAGATTCGGATTATCCGCGATTTTCGATTATCCGCGGTATCTCCGGTATCAATTGTCGCGGATAATCGAGACTCTACTGTAATTGACTTCGTGCGATTTTTTGTCTCCTCGACAAAAATCATTTTCTGAATACTTTGCCTCCGTGGATCGAGGATCCCTTTTCCTCGGAGGGTCACATTCGGTACGTCCGTGGAAAATTCCTAGCAACGGGTTGAAAAACCGAGCTCATCGGATGCCGCGTCGCGTCGACGCGGGATTTCGCGGTACGTGTTATCAATATTATCTACATTGACATTAATGAGCTTTGCGCGAGACTGCGAGAGGAGCGAGGCTTACTCCCAACCTCAGTTTAAAACCCATCCATATTGTGCCATCTCGCCGCCTTTGTTCTCGCGTGTATTTTTGGATTTTTGCCTCCTCCCTCCTTCGCTAACATGTTTACACCGTTCGTCGAATACTCGGGGGCTTTGACTGCTCAAAGGGCCCCTCGTATTTTTTCATTAACTTCTCCGTCCGTCCGGGCGCTTTAAAAGTCCACTTTCCTCCCGCTCTTATTTAAAACCCACGCGTTGGAGCTTTTGTTTCGAGAGACTCGTGCCGAGCGCCACGGAGATTCCCCCGCCGAAACACCAGTCGTTCTTCAAGCGGATCGCCATCGTTCGGAATAACCCCTTTTAAGATCGGAAAAAGCACCCAAGGGGGGCAGTTTTAGCGATCGGGCACTTTTTCGGGGAAGAATAAGGAGTGAGAAGGATTGCAAGGGTGGGAGTCAGATGGCCTCAATTAAGGAACGAAGCCACATTCGCTAATGCCCAACTTAACGGGGCAGTTTAATTTTTTACAAGAGAACGTCTGTGCGGATTCCTTTGAAAATTCTTAGGAAATCGCTTTGTACTGTGCAGAGAATTCACTGGAATCCGCCTAACTCGAAGATTTTTTAAACGGTTTCCCCGTCCGCCCCATCTTTGCCTCCTACAAAATATTCTGCTTCTCTAACACCCCAAGATTTGGCTAGAATGACAACTCTACTTTACAGAAAATAATACAAACCACGAAATTGAGCTTTTTTAGTTTGGGGGGTAAGGTACGGAAAGAGTTTTTTGTTTTCTTGTACCTTGACGAAAAATGCCCATTTCCGCCCACCCTTACGAAAAACATGGCTAAAATTACCACATGATTGGTTCTGTGTGGTCTTTTAATTAGTAGTAGCCGCAAGTAAAGTTAGTAGTATTTTTATCATTAAGTGATGATTTTATGACTGCAGAATTGGAAGTACCTACATAGTCGTAAAAATAGGAATGTTGTTGGATATAACTACGATTAATTAAGAGTTCTCTACGAAGGCAGCGAGGGGTGGTAATAGGGTGGCATGAAACGTAAGAAAGAAATGAAAGATTGGAAATTGCAGTGAAATATGTTATATTTTTCAGGGGCTAGTGTATGCAACTCGCACTCAAACACACAAAAATAGATGATAGTCACACTATTCATGCCTTGTGAAACATGAAAAGGAACCGACATTTTTCAATATATCTTTCATAAATTTCTAAAACATGAATAATTTTACGTGAAATTAAAAGATTTTATTTTTCATGAAATGCCACCCTCGGCGGTAAGCCTCCTGACCGCTCCGCGTTCAAACCCTCAGAAACGATTTGCACCTCAGACATCGTGTGTTACGTGTTACGCCCACGCGTTATTCTTACGATTATTTATCGTAGATTATGACATGAAACACCATCAATATGTGGATTGCATTTTGCAAAAAAGAACCACAAGCATTTCAATGTCGCTAAGATTGTGCAACTTTTTTCACTTTGCGAGTAGATATTGATCATCTAAACGAATTTCATCCTTACTCCTAATAAACTATGAATTCAAGACGAAAATTACTGTAAGAAATTTAATTGTTTTCGTGATTTCTGTAATTTTTTGCCAAGAATTAAAGTTGCACAATCCTAGCAACATTGAAATGCTCTTGGTTCCTTTTTGCAAATGCAATCCATGTAATTTCAAGGATATTTTATTCTCAGTGCACGGAACCTGGCCCGTTCCTCGAGTTGTGGTCGAGATTTTCCGCTTTTCCGAGCCGGCCGCAATACTTAGCGGACGAAGATTGGAACCTGGCGACGAAAGGCTCCGCAATTGGAGGACACGTAGGGAACGCCGGTGAGGTCTCGGCGGGGCAGGGAGGGGGGAGGGGGATTGGCGCAGGCGCAGGAGGGACAGCGGGAGTGTGTCAGTAGAACCATGCCGACGGAGGGACGATTTCATCAGTGTCGGATCCCTTCGGTCTCGCGAACCGTCTCTCCGTGCCTCGCGCCGGGCCTCGCCAAGTTCGAACCTAACCTGAAATTCGGACCCTTCCCGACCTGGATCTCGCCCCGCGGAACTCATGCCTGGTATGTCTCAATCAGAATTGACCGATTTTAAGAGGGAGGAACCAACGCTGGAGAAAATGGCTCGAATTTGCCGTCGATAAGATTTTCTTGTGGATCAAAATCAATGTTGCTCGAATCAAGCAGACTCATGAAGATATGATCGAATATTTTATGCTGTTTTTATTGATTTGACTATTTTAAGATTTTTAATATTTATGTAGTTCATTGTGCTCGATACTGGATGGCCTGACAAACAGGGCTATGCCCTAGTCGTCTGTAGAAGATGAAGAAGAATCAAGCAGATTTTTGCTCGTTGTTAGTTAATTTTGTCTTACCACACGCATATTTCTCACTTGATTTAAGCGAAATTTCCTCTTGACGGCAAATTCAGTCGTATATCTGCTGAAATTAAGCCACTTTATTACCCTCCAGTGAAGTCACGTTAGGATGGAACCGAGAGGGAAAAGTTTGAAGTTTTGCTCTTCCATAAAACTCAAGGCAAGGCTCAAATTGCAATGCATGCCCATATGCATACTTAAAATATGTTTTCTCGGCTTAAATTATTCTTAGGACAAAGTTTTTGGCTTTTTAGATGACTTGCTTTCTTTCTATCTCTTTTAATTTAAATTGCTTAGTTATGTGCCGGAGAGGAGACTACCATCCACAACTATAGCAAAACATGTATTGTGAAACAACATTTGAAAGAAAGAAAACTTTCTAATCAGCAAGACAAATGGTGAACACTTTTCAGACATGAGACGATTTCTTATCAGCATAAAAACAAACTATGCAAACATAGTGGAAAGTAATCCAAATAAGTTTAAAAAGTCATTATTTTGTATTTTAGATAAAATGTTAGAAGATATGGGCTGGATGAACAAGTGAACAAATTAATGTAGGTATATTATTTGATTAATGATACATTTTTTTGCAGAGCTCCATCATATCAATACCTCAGAGGAAAACCGTACTAACTATTATTTTTAGTTTTAAAATCGAGTTAATATACCGACGTTTTAGGAATCCTTGACAACAGCACCCAGCGTGTGAATTATTTAGTGGCCCTATCGTGTTTTGGTGATGCTTGGGGATCTGATAATGATTCGTGTATGAATCAATGGGCCGAACCGCGACTTATCCCTAATTTCTCGGAATGGCTAAAATTAAATTAGGTACCTTTCTGTTTAAGGGCTGTGGTAAATGCACTGTTTAACTTTCAAATTCCCTCCAGATTTAAATTTTTTCCCTTTGTTAATGTTGAATAATATACGTGTGGTGGGGCAATGCAAGTATTATTTTTTAGGTTTTTACTGTATTTAGTTGAAAGGAGGATTCTGACCGCGAGTCGGAAGCAGAAATATTGTGGTTCTTTTGTTGACAAAATTGCGTCACGTAGTTTGCATCACATTTTTTGAAATGGGAAACTTGTAAATCTCAAATCTCTTTGGAAGTGTGTCTTTACAATCGACCCACAATGCAGTCACTAGGCTGATTTCTACCACCAATTCGAGCACTTTGCTCTTATTTTTTTACTTTATATTGAAATCCGGAGAGGGCGCATCAAACGGAGCAATCGAGCCAAATAATTTCACGCCATTTTATAATGTTTGTAATCCCGATGCAATTTTTACTTCCTTTTTTTAACATTTCCTTGTATACTTTTTATTTTCATAAGGAATGTACTTGTTTCAATTGTACATGTGTTGAAAAATTTTTATATGAAAATTACTCAAGAAGAACAATCTCACATGATTGAAATACGAGGATCAGGTAAAATGTGACTACATTCATTGTAAACGGAGCTGCGTGATTTCGCAGTTGTATCAACGACTTGACGTTTTTCACAGTATTAAAAATCGACGACCTCCTCTAGTTTTACGCTAATCATTACGTGTTTTCTATTCTGAAAATTACTGGAGTATTCTCAGAAACGCGCGTACTAAAGAGAGAGCATCTCAGAGAACGGAGACCAATTTTAAGGGACCTTTAATTTGAAACGAATATCGGAATTTTCCATGAAGTCTTTTGGAGAAAGCTGAATCAAATAATTTTAATTTTATCATCCATGCTTTCTTGTGTCTACAAAATAGCAATGTTTTGTTGTGTGCACAAAATAATAGTAATCAAAAACTACACAAACTATTTTTTTATTGTATTTTGTGCATCATGTTACTTTTTCGTAAATTACAAACGGAGCTAAATTGAAAGCGCGATGATGCGAGGCATGAACTCACGATGCTTTTCTCTATGTGCTGCCAATAAGGTGTCACTCGAATTTGGGACGGAAGTAAAAAAACGAGGCCTGCATCTGCATACACCTCTCCTATCTTCGGCTGTGTTGCTCACGTAGCCCTTGAATCACCTATAAAAATAAGAACAACGGTACCATCATAACATTGAGACAAAGAGAGGGGGAGGACGTGCATGGACAACGGCGCAGAGATACAACTATTCGTACTCGATGGATGTCCGTATTGCATCTGCAAAATTGAAGGCGCGATAGCGCGAGGATCTCGGCTACCAATGAGGTGTCACTCTGATTTGGGAGAAAAGTCAAAAAACGAGGACCGATCATTCGTCTTGCCTATCTTCGGCTGCGTGGATATTCGATACCCCCTCCCCCTTTTTTCTTTGTATTTCTGTTTTCTTTTTTATTATTATTTATTTGTAGATCCACATCTAAAGCTCGTATACGGACCCCAAGGCCCCATAAAACCCGCAATGCACGTATTTTTAGCGAACTCCGGGTCAATTTTACTTGGTTTGGGCATCCAGAGGTTAATCACAATACTGCCGTGCTAAGGAAAAACGCCGTATGAACCTTCAGGCGTTGCTTGGCTTTGGCAAATCGCTAATTTATAGAAAACTTCTGAATATTTTTCAGTCAATTTTTCGGATAATTTTGTTTGTAATAACTTGCCTTAAAAATAAACATTTTATCGGAGAAAATTTGGCAACTCTCGAATGTTCATACGGCGTCCTTCCTTAGCACGGCAGAATAGGACGTATTTCTGTCAAACGAAACTATGTGCATCATGACGTGAGCCCTGTCATGCACACATTCCTAAGGGTCTCAGGGCTCATGTCTAATGCACATAGTTTCGTCTGATAGAAATACATCCAATAGAAAGTATTTGGAGCTTTTTTTTAATACAGAAAACAAACTTTTTAATGACCGACCAGGACCCACGTCCATAGGGACATCAGACAACCTCCCAGCGAGAGCTCAAAAATCGAATATTCGACGCAAGTCGGCAAAACTCGCTCCCCATTTGATGGAGCGGTCGGAGCTGCGTCTGACGTCACTCTTATTCCGTTGCTGCTCGGACACGAGAGCATAAAACCATTCCAACATGAGCCCTGGGAAGCATCGAATTACACGCATTCTAGGGATCATCTTGGAATGGAGTCGGGTCGGAGGAGCTAGGATTCGGGGGCCGCGATGAAGTGGTACGCGTAACGCATGACGGGCGAGGTAGAGCCGGCTAATTCCGGGGATCCATTAAGCCGAGCCAGGAACCCTGACCGCAGACCGAGAGTGTCCGTCATGTAACTACCCGCCCGGACCCGTGACCCAGCAATCACTGCGCCACCCGGAAGTCCCTGTTCCCCTCGAAACCCCCCGTGTTGCACCGAGCGGGTGCAATGAGAATGCTGCACCAGGTGCAGCATTCTCTCTCTGCAAAGAATAAAATGACGGCTGGCATTTTGAAACGTCGCATGGCGCTCGCGAAAGTTTGGCCGGAAGGTGACGACTTCTTGTCCCCCCATACTGCCGTGCTAAGGAAGAACACCGTATGAGCCTCGAAACGTTGCCAAGTTTCCTCCGATAGAAACCAAATGTACCGGGAAAATTATGAATATTATTTTCCGAAATGCTCGGACAATTTTTTACGCAATCTAATCTAAAATATCTGAAAATTTCAAGGGAAAATATGCATGAGTGTTGTCAAAAATACATGTTTTATCAAGTGAAATTTGGCAACCCTCGAATGTTCATACGGCGTTCTTCCTTAGCACGGCAGTACACGGGGGAAAAAAACACATTGGATCTAGAGTCCAGACTCTTGAAAGCGTTGACAAGAAAAAATACTCTTCATTCAATCAGATTTTTGCTTAAATCAAAAGGAAATCCGCTCAAATTAAGAGGCTTGGTTCTTGATCTAAGCAAAAATCCGATTGAATCAAGAGTTTTTTTCTTGTCGGTGTTTTTAAGAGTCTGGACTCTAGATTCAATGTGTTTTTTCCCCGTGTACTGCCGTGCTAAGGAAGAACGCCGTATGAACATTCGAGGGTTGCCAAATTTCACTTTATAAAACATGTATTTTTAAGAACATCTATGCATATTTTCCCTTGGAATTTTCAGATATTTTAGATTAGATTGCGTAAAAAATTGTCCGAGTATTTCGAAAAAAAAATATTCATAATTTTCCCGGTACATTTGGTTTCTATCGGAGGAAACTTGGCAACGTTTCAAGGCTCATACGGTGTTCTTCCTTAGCACGGCAGTATGGGGGGACAAGAAGACGTCACCTTCCGGCCAAACTATCGCAAGCGCCATGCGACGTTTCAAAATGCCCGCCGTCATTTTATTCCTTGCAGAGAAATTGTTGGTTGAATCTGTTAGACATTTTCTTTGAATTTTATCGGCAGCACAAAGGAAATTCAGTGAAATTTTCGGACGGTTTTGTTGAACAATTTCTGTGCAAGAACATGCATACGAACAATGGCGGCGGAAATTTTGGAACGTCGCATGACACTTGTGATACTTTTGCTGGAATGTGACGAAGTCTCGTGGCATCATTTCAACCATTCCTATCATCGATCATATGAGGATGGATGAAGAAGAATCCAAACTTCCGAACCCCTAAAAATTGAGCCTCAAAAAACATCAAATTCAAAACCGGGAGTGTAGGAGAACGTTTTTTTAGGAGGAAAATTTTGCTTGCGGGAGTCAATCAGAATCCATCAAAATTGGCGCAAATGTAAGATAAAACGCAACACTTAATGTAGAAAAAGTT